CCCGGGGGGGGGGGGGGGGGGGACGGTGCAGGTGCAGAGACTGAGTTTCTGAGCTCAGCCCCGCGGGAGCTCCAGGCCGACGGGACCGACCCCGCACTGAAGTCCCCGGACTTCAGGGAGGCTTCCCTGGTGGCCGTGCCCGGTGCGGGTTGTCACACAAGGCTGCGGGAGAAACGGCACTGCCGCACGCCTCCGCCGGCCAGGGACCTGAAAGCTCACGCCTGGTCTCCCCTGGACCTGGCCCTACGCTCCTGGCGTCCTTGCTGATTCTGACCTGGGCGCTTCCACTGTAATTGACCATAACAACCGTAACCGGGAGCCGTTGTACGGCTCTTCTGAGTTCTGCGAGCCCTCCTAGTGAAGCATCGAGCCTGAGGGTGCTCTCTGGGAGCCCTGATGACATGGGAAATAAAAAGCAAAACAAGGAGATCTTGGTTAGATGCTGTGGCCCCCTGGGCCCGGGGGTTGCTGCCTGGGAAACCAATACCAGTAGGGTCAAGACCTTGGGCCAAGCCAGGGCAAAAACTAGACCTGAGTCCAACCCCTCCATGGCCCCCAAAGAAAGCCAGGGCCCTCCGTAAGCTGCTGCCACAGGTAGGAAACAGTGGCCTGAAAATCCCAAGCCCTGGTTCATGAAGACTGGCCATCTCGCGCCAGTCTCCAGGTAGAAAATCAATGCTTCCGAAATACGGGCTTGGGCTTGCTCACCAAGGTCCACTCCTTGTGTGTTCCTGGGGACCCCAAGCCAAGAAAAGACTGTTAAAAAGTAGTCCCGGGCCAAAAGGTGGAAGCAATCCAAGAGTCCACCCCTGGAGGAATGCGTAAACACAATGCAGTCCATCCATCCCATGGAACAGTGTTCAGCCTTCATAAGGACAGACACCCTGACACCTGCTGCAACACACTACCGCTTTAGAGTCAGTGCCTCATCCACCCGGAGGCCCAACACAGCTTGGCACAAAGGCCTGCCTCACCACCCTCACACTCAAGTGCAGAAGCACCTCATGCTCCCCCAAGGCTCCTGACCAGCACGGCAAAGCCCCAGCCCCCAGCAGGCAAGGGACAACAGAGAGGCGGTTGCCGCGAGGAGTGGCAGTGGAGGGCAAGGAGGAAAAGTATTTCCCAACTCAGACATCAGCGTCCGGGCCAGGCGGGCAGGCGAGGCGGGGGGGGGGGGGGGGGGGGGTCGTTGTCTAGAGCCATTTATCATAAGGCAACTGGTCCTTGCACGTCACAAGGCCAAAAGGCCCCCAGATTCTGGATGCTCCTGGTGCATGTGGCCCGGAGCCACCCAGAAAAGGTGCAGAGCTGAGTGAACAGGAGTCTGCCACCCCACTCCTGCCAGCCTTAACAATCACCGGGTAAGCACAGGGCTGGCTGGGGGCTGGCACCGGGAGGCCGAGGCAGTAAGGTGGTGCCCGGGGAAGTTCAGGAGCAGGTGAAAAGAAAGGAGAGCAGAAAGGAAGACACACAGAGAGGAGAGCCAGACAATGGGAAACAAGTGATGACATCACAGACCCAAGCAGCCAAGAGACGGGGGCTGCCATGCCCACATGCCCTCAGAGAGCAGGGCCGGTAAGTGGCAGCCCCTTCTGCTACCACCCGGTTCCAACAGAGCAGGGACGCTATGGTCACATGACCTGGAAATCCCTGAGAAGACCCAGCACGGAGCAGTACTTTCTGTCTGTGCAGATCCCTTTCAGCCCCATGCTGCCAGAGGAGGTGCATCTCACCGGAGACCGGGGCCACAGATACGTCTGCTCGAAGATGCATGAGCACCTACTATGGGCCAGATCTAGGCGCTGGACCTCGGGCAGGGGATAGAGCAGGCGAGATCCCCGACCTGCCGGCACTTGCTATCTGGTTAGCTGGAGGGGTGTGACCATAAAGGGCAAGAGAACAAAAGGCAAGCAGGAGAAGCCGGGTCTCCACAGAGGGACAGCAGGAACGGAGGGGCACCGTGGGAGCCAAGAGCTGCAGGAAGGGACGCGGAGCCAGGAGCAGACCCAGGAGGGCACCCAGGGGGGCACCCAGGGGGCACCCTCTGTTCACGTAACAGAGGACACATTTTAGAAGACTTCTGGCCACTGGCAGTTTGCTGGGGAGGGAGGGTACGCAAGAAGGAGAAACCTTCAGGTACCCTCCTCCGGGGTAAGGCCAGACAATATACGAAAGGAACGGCAAACTAGACTCAGGTCTAGTATGGGAAAGGGAAAACCAGAAATGATTTCAAAATTCCATTGTGAGAAACAGTGGGGACTACTCAGGGAAAATCGATAGGACTGTGGAAGTCCTCGAGGGCAGCCCTTCCCCCAGACTCGCACTCTACAAACCGTGCTGTGGATTCAGCAGGTCGGGGGAGGCCAGCGAATCTTTCAACCATCAGCCTCATTGTCTGCCATCTAGCCATCCACCCACCCGTCCATCTCATGTCATCCATCTGTCTGTCCACCCCTCTACCCATTTGTCATCTATTGATCTATCTATCATCTATCTGCCTGTCCATTATCAATCCATCTTTTTAGAGGACTCCCTATACTTCTTCTGATGTGAATCCAAGTTTATTAACTTCCAATCTACAGCAAGCTCCCGCTCAATTCAATAAAAGTGCTTGGCTGAACAAAGTGACTCTCAACTGGGGGTGATCCCCACCCTGGGACACTTGGGAATATCTGGAGACATTTCTTGATTGTCATGACTGGGGCATCTACAGGGTAGCACAGGATGGTGTTGCCACAGAGAATGGTCGAGCCCCAAATGTCCACAGTGCCAAGGGGGGAGAGCCCCTGCCTTAGATAATCATGACAGGGTATGTTCAAGCTTCAATATTCCTAAGTAGCCCATATCTTCCTTCATGGATAATTACTACAAAGAAACATGGATGAGTCCTCAGGCAAAGGAAAGGGGGACACACCAGCATACGGAGCAGTCACCTCACCTGCCACCATGGCTTCTCGGCCTCGGCCTCGGCGGGCACCTCAACCCCATAGGCCTGCAGGGCCAGGTGGAGCACTGCCACGGCTATGTGCTGAGCCCGGAACCGGAGGCATAGCCCCCCATGGTAGCTGTCCCGCAGCAGGGCCCAGGCAGTGACGGAAATGGGGGTCCGCTGCCAGCAGTAACGGTTCAGCCAGTTCTTGAGGGAAATCAGGTAGTGGAGCAGGTACTGCAAAGACACACCAGTCAGCCAATTGGCCTCTGGGGCTCCAGGCCCCCAAGACACCTGACTCCTCACTGTGAGGCCCTGTGCCCCCGGCCCACCGCCCACCAGCCACTCTTCCCCTAAGCTGTCTCGACAGGAATAAAACACAAACTGGATCGAGTCATCTCTCTGTTCAAGCCCTCCAACATCTCCCTGTGTCCCTTAGAAAAAAAATCCCAGTGCCTTCCACTGGCCTCCAAGCCCTGCCCCGCCCTCCCACCATGTTGGAACATGCAGAGCACGCTTCCCTCCCGGCCTTGGCACTCACTGCTCCCCCTGCCTGAGATCGTCTCCCCCTCCTCCCCGCCCCTGCCCAGTGTCCGTGTGCCCACCCACTCTCAAGTCCTGGCCCAGCTCCTGGACCCTGCCCGAGGCTCTCTCGATGGCCACCCCTACCACAGTCCCTCTTCATCACCTGGCCCTGCTCTAGCCATCATCAGAAATCATTCTGCGTATCCCCTTGCCCAACTCAACGTAAGCTCCAGAAACAGCATCCTTATATTCCAAACAGAACACTGCGCCCGTGTGCCCAGCCTGAGGCCAAGGGGCTGCCCGGAGACAGGACGCCTGCTTTCAGAGGGACTATGAATGGTGACCGTGTTTTCCAGGAGTGCTGCCCGTGGCTATAAACTCTTAATGGCTTTTCAGCTCAACTGCCTGTCGGCTCCCACTCTGGGAAGACAGCGGCTTTGCTCGAACCGTCTGATCTACAAACACACTGATAAGCCCACTCCACAGGCCTGAACACACATGCTTGCGACTCCAGCATGCCACGGAACAGGGGACTCATTGGCTGCCCTAGACCCCATCCCAACTTGACATAAGGGGAAGGCCGCTAGGCTCAAGGCAACGCTGACCCCCACTCCCCCACCCGACGGCCCCCTTGGCAGGTGCTGTTCTTCCTCAGACACACAGCCAGGGCGGCTCCTGCCTTCCCCTGCATCGTGCGACCAACTGAACAACCGACCAACCGACCATCCGGAAACACAACTATTTTAAAATCGCTACCAGAGGTTTCCGGGATTAGAAAGGCAGTTTGGAAAGGTGGGGTGAGATTATAAGGACCCCTGTGGGGATGGGAGTTGTTTTGTATTTCAACTGTGGTGGTGGATATATGCAGGTGCATATGGGCTAAAATTGTGCAAGTAACATCCCAGCGACCCCCAGAATCCCTGGCAGGGGCGGGGCTGTGCCAGTGGCGTCACCCCAGCTGTTACACTGATTGGTGTTCTGCAAAATGTTTCCATTCGGGGAGACTGGGCAAAGTCTCCATCTCAAACAGGATCTCTGCGTTATTCCCTCCAACTGCTCGTACATCTACAATTACCTCATACGAATTTCAATTGGAAAAAAAAAAACGAAATCCTGTTCACAACCCATGTCCCAACCCCCCACTGCCCCACGTCTTTCCCTGCAGGCCACCCTTCCAAGCTGCCCACACGGGGGACTGGGGCCACCAAAGTATCACATCCAAGTGCTCGAAGGGCTTCACACATCCCTTTTGCTGCCGTCAGAAACAGTTCTATTGGGACTTACGTGTTCCTAGCAGTTAAAAGTGTGCTACTTAACTTTGTGACTCAGATTTTCTTGTGGGTTTCAAAGCACAGCTGAGCTGCATGTGAGCTCTGAGGCAGAGCGTGACTCTCAGGGACAGGAACTCTGGGGCATCATGAAACCAGCCCTACTTCCCTGTGGCTCACTGAGCACACAATCTAGGTGGGTCACGGGATCGGCAAGGGTTTCACAGAGTCACACGGATCCCAGCTTGCAGCCTTGGCCAGGCAGGCCAAAAGGCAGAAGCTGAAATCAGAACTGCCTGAGAAAACCCAGGGAGTTGGGACAAGAGGGGCCACACAAGCCAGTCAGGGTGTGCAGTCGGGAGCCCCAGTGCCCAGCTGTGGCTCTGCTCTTCCTCACATACACTCCGTGTTTGTGAGGGTTCGGTGGGTGCACTTTCAGGATAAAAAACGAAAAGGTTCATGCCTCTAGAAACAGTTGCCAATTCCCCAGCAGGTACCTTGTGTGGGTGCTGGAAGGAGACTTGGAAACGCAGGACTCTCAGCATGAGGAGCTCACACTGCACTATACTGTCCCGGAGCGCCCAGAAGCGGGAGTCCAGCTCCAACGGTTCACTGCCCGGGTGAAAGTACCTGCGCGGAGAGACAGCAATGCTTATGGCAGCCAGGGAAGCGTCTCTGGGGAGCCCCTCGAGTCCCCTGGTGTCCAGACACAAACTCCAGTGTTCTTCCACTAGATAGGGCCAGTTCTACTGATGTGTTTATAAGTCATCTTCATCTACATGCCTACGATATAGGATAAAAACAGTAACTAACAGAGAAAAGAAGCCGGCTTCTAGTTTCAGCCCTGATGGGCTGTCCCATATCACTCAGCAAGATGTCAAGGGTAAAGATGAGCTCCTTGCAATTGCTCCAGAAGGACTGGAAGCTCTAGCACACACTGAACTGACCAGTCAGCCTGGGATCAGGGACAGGCTTTACCACCTGGGACAGCAATGCCCAGGGCTCTTACTCTGGGTCCAAGGAAGGAATTGAAACATGTCATGGGGATGCTATATGCAGAAGAATAAACGTATTTCAGCTTTATGTTCCCAGATTGTCTTTCCTTTGTTCCAGATCCTTCTGTCCTTATTTACGCCATATATATCCACAACACTCCCACCTACGCATGATCACCAAGATGTAAGAGAACAGGATTCACACTCAAGTGATCAAAATTCTCTGCCAATGACTCAGCCTTCCTAGTTCCTCACTCCTTTTGCAACTTCCCCACAGAACCCCACCCGGGTGCTCATGTCTAATTAGTGGTCCACACAATTTCCCCTCTACCAGTCCTCCCTGCTGGGGACCTGGCAATTACAGGTGGACTCTAGCGGCCCTCCCTTGGTTCCCCCTCCAGTTTTTCTCCTAGCCTTTCACGGTACACTGCGACCCTGTCATGCTTAGGGGGTAGGGAGCGCTTTTTCTGTTACCTGTTTATTAAAAAGAGAAGCAGCACAAAACAGTTTTCTTAATGATTAGTTTCTAGAAAGGTTACGCCATACTGCTAGTCAGTAACTTTCCACAGACTGCTTTCTCCTGGGCCCCCTGGGTGTCTCAGTGCAGCCTGGCTGGCTGGACCCCCATATCCTTCCCAGTAGGAACACAGCTGCTTGGGCCCAAGGGGGCCGCCCACAGAGCACCATGCCCACACCAGGACAAGAGGTGCTTGTTAGCAATTCTGACTCAGTTTCCCACACCATCTTAATAAAATAATTGCCCGACTGGGTCCACACCCTCCCTTGCATGGGAAGGTCCTACAGGTCCCACAGAACACAACTGGTTCGATCCAGCCTGCCCAAAACTCCAGACTAATCTTCTAGAGCACCCCATGACCCCAGCTCTTCTACACTCCTTCGGGCCTTTGAGGCTTCCCTTAATCTGGCCCCAGCTTCTCTTCCACTCACCCCATGGGTTTCCGACACCAGGCTCATTCCTGCCTTTGCTGCTAGTGCTTCTTGCCCTGGCTCAAGACCACCCCAGTGCTTCCTTCTGAGCTTGACCACTGTCACCTGGCGATCAGGGCTCAGTGGGACCCTTCTCTGCCCTCCCATTTGGGTGGACACCAGTGAGTCCTCCCAAAGGCCTGGGCCTGGATGCCATTACCTGTTGGACACGTTGATGATGTCACGAGTGCGCAGGTGCTGTTCCTCCACTTTGCCGGCCAAATAAAGGGAAGACATGGCGACCAGGTAGGGGTCATAGGCGTCCAGGTTGATCTCATAGAAGAACTTATGGTAAATGGTACAAGCTGTGGCAATGGGAATGGACTGCATCCCTAGCTTGACACCTGCCAAGAGAAAGCAGGCAGAAGAGTAGCTCAGTCCAGTGCTCACCCTCTGCTAAAGCGTGGGTGGAGCTGCTGGGTTGGGCCCTAAGGGTATACACCCCTGCTCAGACAAGACCAAGAGCCTAGAGCCTAGCTGGCTGTGGCTGCTGGGTCTTTCACTGGGTCCCCTACCTGAGAGGTTTCGAGCCAGGCTTCTCAGATTCTATGGGGCTAACAAGCCCCGGGGGGTTGTGCTCAAATGCAGTATCCCCTTCAGTAGCACTGCAGATATACTTCCACCAAGCCCCCCTGGTCACACCCAAGCTACAGGTCTGCAGACCACACTAGGAGAAGCAAGGCTTCAGACTAGTCCTCAGTGACCACCTGGCATGTCAGCCTCTGCACAACATCCCAGAAAGGACCACACACTGTTGTGTGTCTGTTTCTACCTTACAAGCATTTAACTAAAGGTTGCCCCCACCCCCCCAGGTCACCTAACAAAAATCCTGCCAAGATGACAGCAGGGGGAAAAGGCCTCTGAGCATCAAAAAGACACCACAGAGTCCCAATGTTACAACTAAAGATTATACTCGGCCCTGGTTTCCTTGTCTGAAGGTTGAAAAAGGCAAGAAAAGCAAGCAGGGAAAAAAAAAAAAAGCAACACCTACGGCCACCTACGGGCACCAGGGAGGAAGAGAACCCAAAAAGCAGAGCACGTGGTGGTTTGATTTAGGGGGTAAAGCCCGTGCCCCACCCCACCTCTGGACGCTCCTAAGGAAATCACTGCATTGGGTAACAGAACCAATATAAATTCACAATGACCAGGGTCAACAAGAGAAGGTTAAATGACATCCAACAGACTGAAAGAAGGTGGGGAACAACCGTCAATCATTAAGATTACATTCAGTATCCTCTCCCTAAGGCGTTTTAGTTCCCTGGGGCTACCGTAACGAATTACCACAAACTTAGTGGCTTCAAACAACACATACTGTTTCTCTTACAATCCTTGTGGTCAGAAGTCCCAAATGAGTCTTAGGGGGCTAAATTCAAGGTGTGGGCAGGGTGGGTTCCTTCTGGAGCCTCCAGGGGAGAATGTTTCCTTGCCCTTTCCAGCTTCTAGAGGTGCCTGCAGTCTTCGGCTTGTGGCCCCTTCCTCCCTCGTCAAAGTCAGGGGAAGCACCTTCTAACTCTGCTCCCCTCATTCCATGGCCTTCCAGTCTGCCAGTCACTCCCGCCTCTCTCTTTAAGGATGTGACAAGTGTGATGATCCTGGGCCCAGTGAATAATCTAGGGTAGTTCCCCAATATCAAGATGCTTAATCCTGGGGCACCTGGGTGGCTCAGTCACTAAGCATCTGCCTTCGGCTCAGGCCATGGTCCCAGGGTCCTGGGATCGAGCCCCGCATTGGGCTCCCTGCTCGGCGGGAAGCCTGCTTCTCCCTCTCCCCCTCCCCCTGCTTGTGTTCCCTGTCTCGCTGTGTCTCTCTCTGTCAAATAAATAAATAAAATCTTAAAAAAAAAAAAATGCTTAGTCCCATCTGCAAAATCTCCTTTGCTACGTGAGGTAACAGTCACAGGGTCGCAGGTTCAGGGGATTAGGGTGGGGACATCTTCGGAGGACCAGTGCTTAGCCTCACAGGGGGGAGCAAGGCATATGCAATACATTTTATAAAGAAGTCCTTGGAGGGTGGTACCTGGAAGAGCTTTTAGCATTTCAAGGTCTAAACTTAAGTTACATAGGCAGTTCCCACATGGGACTCCTCATTCCCAGAGATGTCAAATACGGTGGTATAGCTGCACATGACCCTCCAAGCCCTGTTTTATGCAGCAAATCCTCAAAGGGCAGCACACTGCCCTGGTTTACATGGACCCTCCAAGCGAATGCATGGCAGCATATGGGAGGCCACTGCCATCCTTCTTCATACCTTGTGCAACTCTTCCTGGAAATTAAATGTACAAATCACTGGGCTTAATGGTCCTGCATCATTTCCCCAGACCGCTTTGACTTGAAAGCGGACTCACCCAGACCCCGCTCCCACCGAGTGCGTACAAAGTAACAAAGATCGAAAGTAACCGTCTGCCCGAGTGAGACACTATTGCCAGAGAGAGAAACAATGTTTCTACAGGAATCCGATTCGCTTCATTGTCTCGCCTTGGGAGCAGGGGCACCCAACACCTCTGTGGACACCCTGGCAGGGTTTTCAAAACGCGAGCTGCACCCTGCCTGGGTCCCCGGTGCGATGGGACCTCGCCAGCAGGGCTCGTCACGGGCCTCACCAACTGCGGGCTCCGAAAAAGGCTCCGCGAGACCAAGTGCGCTGGGAGACAGGTATGCCTGAAGGCGCGGTGGGCCACCAAGCCGCGGGCGCTCGGATTCGACCACCTTCTCGCTCGGGCCAGTCCCTTCCCACGTCCTCTCTTTGGGCCTGCGCGCCCGTCCGCGAGGTGGCAGTGACCGTGTCCTTGCAGCTCAAAGCCTAGCGCGCAGGGCGCGGCGGAAAGCAGAGGCCTGTACCCCTGAGCCGGGCCTCTTCCCCCTGGCCAGCCGCGCCAGCTCCCCGTCCTGCGCGTCCCCTGCTCCGGGAAGTGGGTTCCCGTAAGGCCGGCCCTCTTCCCCAGCCGCGGTTACCTGCCTCCATGATGAACCTCGTCACTCGGAAGTGCACCCTCGCCTCGGGTGCTGGCCACCCCTCGGCACCCCGCGCCGTGTCCCCTCCTCCACAACTGTGCGGGCCAACAGCCTCCATGAGGCCCCCGCCCCGCGGCCCCAGACCCCCCGCGGGAAGGAGAAGGGGCCCCAGCGCGCGGCGACCAGCTCCGGGGGTCCTGGCGGCGGGCGCGGCCACGCGCCCCGCCCCGCCCCGCCGCTCCCCTCCCTGCCCCTGTCCGCGCCGCCCCGCCTCCCAGCTCCCCGCCCCGGGAGGCGGGGAAGGCAGGATGACCGCGCGGCTGCACGCAGGCGCCGGTGCAGGCGCAGGCGCAGGCGCAGAGGCCGACGCGGCCAGGTGGCGGCTGCCCTGCGCCCGCCCTGCACCTGAACGCCGTTTGCCTCGCCCAGGAGAACTGACGCCAGGTCCCTGGGAGGCTTATGCCCCGCCCCCGAGAGCCGCCCGCCTAGTACCCCGCGGCTGGAACTAGCTGGGCTACTTCGCGAGGGCGCCGCGAGGTCCCGGGCACCCCCAGGCATCTTAGCTGCAAGTCCCTGCGGTCCACTAAGGTGTTGCTCCAGGCTGGTGGCCCGGCGTGGAGGTATAAGGACACTGATTCCATTCCTGAGGCTCTGCCCTCAAGACCTAAGACTCCCGACTGGGAGAGCTGGTGGTGACTGCCAGCCCCCGGGCGAGGGGCGCTCACCTGTGCTCTCTCCGAGACGTCGGCGACTCCCACCAAGAGAAATCATGTGACTCAGTGTCAGTGTTCGTAAAAGCTGAATCCAGCTTTGCCAAAGTCTCCAGACAGGTAGATGAGCCCCGAAGGAAATGTGCGAAGAATGAGTGCATTACGGGGTTTTGGCTCTGGGATTTTCCTCTGCATCCCCTGGTGATCTGGCTTCTGCTCACCTTCCCAGGCTGACACACATTAGGAGCTTAACGAAGGAATGTTGTTGAATATCCAGCTCGCAATGCCAATTCACGCATTGTGCGTGTGCCTTCCATAAGCAGGATATCGTGTGTCAGGCTTAGGGCTATAGAGCACCAGAGGGACTCCCAAACTAAGCACCCCGTCATCTGGGTCACTCTGGTATCATCGGATAGTTGCTATGATCTGAGAGACTTGGGAACTTTGAGAGGAAAAGGCCACTGCTCCCAAGCTCTTCCTCCAGGGTGACTGGACCCCGGTGACGATCCTGATGGCTCCACCTCCTGACCCCCCCGGGACAGCCTTGTCTCCTCCCTCAGCTCCCCCATCCCTCTCCCAACCCAGTTCCCAGCCAAGTCTTTTCTCCACACCAGCCGTGGTCGTTTCCTGTGCCTGCTGTAACAAATGACCACAAAGTGAGGGACTTGAAACAACAGGATCTCATCCTCCCACAGCCCTGGAGACCGGAAGTGTGAGCTCAGGGTGTCGACAGGGCCATTATCCCCCTGCAGGCTCTAGGATACAATCCTTCCTTGCCTCTTCCAGCTGCTGGCGGCCCCAGGTGTTCCTCGGCTCATGGCCACGTCACTGCAGTCTCTGCCTCCGTTGTCACGTGGCCTTCTCCTCTGTGTGTCTCTGTGTCTCTCCTGTTACTTGTCTCAGCATTTAGGGCCCACTGAGGAAATCCAGGATGATCTCAACTTGAGATCCTTCACTCCATCACATCTGCAAAGACCCTCTTGCCAATCCCAGCTTCCAGGGATTACAACATAGGGGGCTACCATCTGGCCCACAACACCAGCCACCAGCCAGAGTGAGCTTCCTAAAATGTAAGCCTGAACGGGCTCTGCCCTGCCTACCATCTTCCAGGTCCCCTTCAACTCAGGAGAAAGCTGAGGCCTTAGCCTGACATGCCAGTTTGCATGGAGTCACCCTGTCAAACTGACCAGCCTTGGGTCTCACCACTTGGCCACTCATAGCAACACCCTTGAGCAACTCCCTGGAAGTTACAGTCTCCCACCTAAGGGTCTTCATACAAGTTCTGCCCAGTGAAGGGATTCCTGCCGCATACCCTTCTCCCCAGCTGCCTCTGTCTGAGGCAAGGCACAGGCCCTCTGGGCTGAGTAGCTGTGTGTGTGTGTGTGTACGCATGCACATGTGTGCTTGTGCACGTGTGCCCATGTGCATGTGTGTGGAGGGACTCAGGGCCCCAAGGCCCCTGTGCTGCTAACACCTGTCATGCCTTGAGCACTCTGCTGTCTGTCCCCCACCCGAGGCTGTAACCCAGACCACCCAGAGCACCAGCCTAAAGGGGCACACCACACACACCCCCCTCTCCACACTCACATGCAAATGTACACGTACATCAGGCATCCCCCCCACACACACACACACACACATGCACACACCCAAATCGTATCGCTTTTCCCTCTGGCCCCTGGCCCAGTGGCCTGCCTGTCGCCTCCCCATCCCGTGTTTGCCGGTTAAACAGCACAGCTTGAATTCCTCCTTCCCCCCCTGGGCCTTTTGTGGCGTGAAGAGTCTGGGCTCAGCAAGTAATAGGTGCCCGTGAATGTGAGTCAAGGGAATGACTCAATGAACACATTAATTTTTAAAACCCTGGGTCACAGGGCACCCTCCTGGCAAGCAGCCTGGACACAGTGGTTGACAAATGAATAATTCACTAGCCACCGGTTGGAACCAGCAAACCTCTAGGCAGGGCTTCCTCTCCCACCATCAAGCCACACCCACTGCAGAGCCCTCCCTTCCCTGTCATCTGTCACCCCTCCCAAAGGTGGCGTCCCCCCTCTCACCACCCCCACCATCCCCTGACCTTGCCCGGGGATTATCTTCAGACCCTGTACAGAGAAGATGGTCAACAAAGGAGGGGCGGACAATCGTATCAGAAGAAGATTCTATGATATTTGCCAACACTCCCTTATCTAACCTTCACTGTGCGCCTCTACCTTGAGTAAACCACAGCCTCCTCCTCACAATGGCGCTATCACCTAATGAGTGAGTGAGTGAGCCAGGGCCTCAGGCTGGAGCTCGAAGGATGAGGCAGAGAAGGGGGAGGGGCATTCGGGGTACAGAGGGAAGGCTGTGCCCAGGCAGGGCCACTGGAAAGCCTGGCTGCTCTTCAAAGACAGGGGATGATTTCCAAAGTGCTCAGCCTGCCCACCTCCTTCCCAGTGGCCTTGGCCCTAGGGGTGGTCAGTTGAAGAGCAGCCTCATCCAAGTCCAGTCCTGTCACCCCCTCTTCCCCACATCTCCCCCTCTCCACAAACACCTTCTGACTTCCAATCTCTTACCATGGGCAAATCCAACCACCTTCCTCCGGGTCCGCCTCCCCGTCTCCACTGCCCTCTGCTCTCCCACCCTTCTCAACTACGCAACTCTGAAGCCATGTGTGTCCCTGGACTCCACGGCCTCCTGCCTGCTCTGCCCTTGGCCCCCCCCGCATCCGGCCCCTGCTGGGTGAGACAGTCCCCCTCCCACACCATCCTCATCTTAGTCCACTCAGGCTACTGGAGCAAAATACCACAGACTAGGTGGCTGATAAACAACAGACATCTCTTTCTCAAGTTTCAGGAGGCTGGAAATCCAAGATCAGGGTGCCAGCATGGTTGGGCTCTCGTAAGAGCCCTCTTCTGGTTTGCAAAAAGCCAAGTTCTCACTGTGCCCTCGCGGTGGAAGCAGCACACTAGCTCTCCGGGGTCTCTTGTATAAGGACACTGATTCCATTCCTGAGGCTCTGCCCTCAAGACCTAATCAGGTGGCCCCACCCCCTAATACTATCACCTTGGGCATTCAGATTTCACCATGTGAGTTCGGGAGGAAGGACACATTCAGACCATAGCACCTACCAAGGTCATGTGCCACTTCTGAGCTGCCTCCTCCCAGCAGCACCAGTTGCTCCTTGCTTTAAAGTCTGACCGCTGACAGCTTTGAAGCCTCATCCTCCCTGTCCGCTTGTGCCCCACATCTGGGCAAGCTGATGAGAAAGCCTGAGTGCTCCCTTCCTTGGCACCAGAGGGAAGCTCAAACCACCCGCAGGAGCCCTCACCCCTGCCCTAGCTCCAACCATGACAAAGAACCCTGCCAGTCTCCTCTCCATACCCTCTCAAGTCATTTTCTGACCAACTGGGGGACCTGCCCTGCAACCCCCCCAGAAAGCCTCAGTATATGAGTAAGGCATCTTCTCTTAACCTCTTGGTGGGTGTGGTGCCATCAGTCTCCAAGTCCAAACCAAATTTTGGATGGGAGATCAATCCTGTTCCTGAAGAGTGACTATGAGACACTCCTTCCTGCCCCAAACACCTTCCTCTTGAGGATTTGTCACCCCCAACTCTCCTGGCTCCCTGCCTCCTCCCCTCATTGACCGAGTGCCTGCATGAGCCAGGCTCAGGCCTGGTGCTGGGATGAAGCAGACAGGGTCTCCCTTCAGTAGCCTTGCTCTCCTCCCCCACCCCACATGCTCCAGACAAAGCCACCTTTGTAAAACCAAAGTCTGATTGGGGCCCTTCCTTCTCTGAGCCTGCAAGAGCCATACTAGCTACCTAGACACAGCTCTATTTACCTGGCGGGTCAGGGTTCAGTTTTATTAAAGAAGGTGGAAGTTTCCTTACGAGTGGAGACACTGTGGGAATTATAGCTTTTGGTTAATCTACTACCTGAGATTATTTCCTTTTTCAAAGTTTTGAGTAAAAACAACTCAGTAAAGAGAAACATTGAGCAAGCTCTGAACACCCACGGGATCTTGTGTGTGACCAAGTTTGACCTCAGAAGTGTTGAAAGTCGACACAAGGGTTCAAAAACCTGCGCCGGCACTAGATATACACAGATAGCTGCTACAAATCCAGAGACAGAATGTAGATTAGGGGGTGCCAGGGGCTGGGGAGCTGGGGGAGTGATGGAAGTGGCTGCTAAGAGGGATAAGGCTTCTTCAGGGAAGTGATAAAAATGTTCTGGAATTGGATTGTGGTGATGGTTGAACAACT